TGCCTCAGCCTCCTGAGTGCTTGGATTACAGGCATGCACCACCATGCCCTGCCTGAGTTTATAAATTTAAAAATTAATTCAGGCTTTTAAAGTTAATTCTTAAAAAATATCAATTCATAGGCATGAAGAACCTTATATAACGTAAAAAAAAAAAAATCACCCTGTCATTCCTAAGCATATTTTCATCAAATGTAATGGCACAAACCTGTAAGGCCACCGCTCAGAAGGCTGAGGCAAAGGCCAGGCATGGTGGGACACATCACAGCAACTGTAATTCCAGCAGTCGGGAGGGTGAGGCAACCGGATAGTGGCCAGTTAAAGGCCAGCCTGGGCTAGAGTGAAATCTTGTCTCAAAAAAAAATCAAACAAAGAATATTTTCTTCCATGTCACCATTTTTTGGGTTTTTTTGTGTGTGTGTGACAGGGTCTTTCTATGTAGTTCAGGCTCACCCAGGCTGGCTTCAACCTTGCAGGGATCCTTCTGCCTCAGCTGCTCAAATTCTGGGATGACAGGCATGTATCACTAGGCCTGGAATATACTAATTTTTTTTTTTTTTTTCTGGTACTGGGAATCGAACTCACAACCTCACGCTTGCCAGGCAAGCGCTGTGCTCTGAGCTAAATCCCCAACACCCTAGGCCTGGAATATACATTTTAAATTACTGTTTGATTGTCTGACTTAGTCACTGGTTGATTTTTTTAGTTCTGGGAATCAAACCAGGGTTTTAAACATGCTAAGCCAACACCGTACCAATGAGCTGTACCGCTGGCCCTTTTTATTTTTTAACAGTACCAAAGTTTTATTAAATGGAAGAAAATAAACAGGCTCTGCAGAACAACTTTGGGAAAAGTAAAAGCAGGACAAGTAAAAGCAGGACACACCCTAGAGCCTGAGGGTAGACCACCATGCAAGCCAGAACATAGTGACTTCTTGTATTTTTGAGACAGTATCTTGATAACTTACTCTGGGTGGCTTCACACTTGGGATTCTTCTGTCTCAGCTTCTCGAGCAGTTGAAATTACAGGCATGTGCTACCATGCCCTGCTACTGTTAAGTATTTATAGAGTACATTTATGTGGTGACCACATTGTTAAACTACTTAAAAAAAAACGTTTTACACTTGGTTCTAAATGTGGAAGCTTCACTAAAGGCAGAACTACTCCTTAAAGTGCCCCTCACCAGATATCTGGAATACATATACAGGAAATAGGCTTTCTTGCTATTGCAGCCATGCAGAAAATGCGCTGCCCGATCATACTCTTTAACATCAAAGTAGGCCTTGGCCAGGGTGTAAGCATCCATATCCTGGGCATCCTCCTACAAGAGAGACAGGCTGGTATAAGTGGTTGGGAACGGTATAACAACAGCTGAAATATAAGAAGCAATTCATTAATTTCAGGATATAGGAAAATTATTTTTCTCCTCCCTAAAACCTAACACATATGTATAGAGGCATAGACACAATATCTTTAGATACTTATTGCCAGATAGTAAAAATAATTTTTATCTTTTTTTTCCTCTTCTTTTTTATTTTATTATTTTTATTTTTATTTTTTATTTGTTTTTTGAGACGAGCTAGTCTTCAACTCACCATGCAGACCAAGTTGGCTTCGAGCCTACAACAACCCTCCTGCCTCAGTGTGCCGAGTGCAGAGCATGCACAGGAGTGCATTCTCACACCCAGCTGTTGCTACTTTTTCTTTTCTCTTTTTTTTTTTTTTTTTGGCAGTACTAGGAATTGAACCCAAGGCCTTTGCTCTGAGCTACACTCCAAGTCCTTGTTTTAATTTTGAGACCAGATCTCTGAATTGTCTAGGTTCATTTTGTACTTCTGATCCTCTTGCCTGAATTATAAGAGCTAAGCTTACATGTGTGCACCATCCCACTCAGCTCAAAGGTATTTTTTGATGCCAGGCATGGTAATACCTGCCTGTAATCCCAGCACTTGAGAGGCTGAGGCAGGAGGATCTCCATTATTTCAAGGCCAGGCTCAATTACATAGCAAGACCCTGCCCCTCCTCAAAAAAAGTTTTGTATACATTAACACTGCTGAAGGCACGGAATGCAGCTCTAATTTTCATGTTTAAAAAAATGAGCCAGGCATGGTAGTACACACTTGTAATCCTAGCACTAAGGAGGCTGAGGTAGAAGGACTGCCATGAGTTTGAGGCCAGCCTGAGCTACATATTGAATTCAAGGCCAGCCTGAACTATATAGTGAGACCCTGTCTCAAAACAAAAACAGAAAAGAGAGAGAAATGAAGCTGGGCACGATGAATCACATCTGCAATCCCAGCACTCTGGGAAGTGAGAGAAAAAGCTCACAAGGTCAAGCCCAGTCTGGGAAACTGAGCAATTTAATGAGACCCTATCTCAATATAAAAAAAGTTTTCAATGGGCTGCGAATACAGCTACAGGAGAAAGGTCCTAAATTCGATCCCCAGAACTCCAGAACCTCACACACACACACACACACACACACACACACACACACACACAAAGACAGCTGAGCTGGGTGTAGTCACACACATCTGTAACCCCAGCACTGTAGGAGGGAGGCTGAGGCAGGAGAATCACAAGTTTGAGCCCAGCCTGAATAACGACGTGACTTAGACTCTGTTCTGACATAAAAATTAAAAATTTAGTCAGGCATGGTGGCACACTCCTGTAATCCTGGCACTCCAGAGGCTGAGGCAGGAGGATTGCTGTAAGTTCAAGGCTAGCCTGGGCTACACAGTGAGGCTCTGTCTCAAAAAGCAAAAACAAAAATTAACAATAATAATAATTTTAAAATAAAAATAAATTTAGTGAAGCATGGTGGTGCACACCTTTAATGCCAGCACTCGGGAGGCTGAGGCAGGAGGACTGCCATGAGTTCAAGGCCAGCCTGGGCTACACAGTGAGACCCTGTTTCAAGAAAAACCAAAAATCAAAAACCAAACCAACCCAAAATGAAACAACCCAATACTTTATTCTATTCAGAACCATCAGGGCCGAGGATATAGCTCAGCAGCACAAGCGCCTGCCTGGCAAGCGCAAGGTCCTGAGTTCGATTCCTCGTACCAAAAAAAAGAAAAAAACCAGAACCATCAATATAATATGCCCAAGCACTACAAAAGCAGGCACAGGAAAGTAAAAGCTAGTAAGACAGTTATAAATCACTTGACTAATATACTAAATACACTGTACACTTTATCCTTATCATCTTATTAATCTTCTTAAAAGCCTAGCAATTATTAATACTATCTATAGAGGCTACATTTAGAATTCATTTGCCCACATTCCACCTCACCCGAGAAAGAGGGGCTGTTATCATGAAATCAACCAGTAGCAAATGCTGGTGGGACTGTGGAGAAAAAGGAACTCTTCTCCAGTGTTGGTGAGTGTAGACTGGTGCAACCACTGTGGAAATCAGTGTGGAGTTTCCTCAAAAAAACAGGACTAGCGGTTCCATTTGACCCAGCTGTTCCCCTTCTTGGTATCTTCCAGAAAGAATTAAAAGCATCATACCACAGCGATATAGGCATAGCCATGTTTATAGTGGTATAGTTTCTAGTAGCTAAATTTGAAACACCCCAAATGTCCACCAACAGATGAATGAATAAAGAAGATATAGGCTTTTTTTTTAATACAATGGAGTACTACTTTGCCATCAAGAACGATAAGCTTGAGACATTCCTAGTTAATGGATGCATCTTGAGACCATACTCTTAAGTGAAATAAATCAAATACACGCGTTTAAATATCTAATTGTTTCTCTGATGAGAGAAGTTGACAGTGTACACAAGGACCAAAATACATAATAGATATTGTGAAATGGGAAGAAAACATTCAAATGAAAAGGGGAACAAGGGAAAGAGGGGGAAGTAGTTGGGCGTGGTGACGCACGCCTGTAATCCCAGCACTCGGGGAGGCTGAGGCAGGAGGATTGTTGTGAGTTCGAGACCAGCCTGGGCTACAAAGTGAGCTCAAAGCCAGCCTGAACTGCATAGCGAGGCCCTGTCTCAAAACAACAAACACAAAAAAAGGGAAAGAGGGGGAAAGGAAAGGACAAGAAAAAAAGAATAGGAGGAAAAAATGAAAACAAAGCTTGTGTAATAGAAGAGGAACCTATTATTTCAAAATGTGGTGGTTTTTTTCCTCTTTAAAATTAAAAAAAAAAAATTAAAACAGAAAAAAAAAAGGAGAGGAAGAGGGGTTGAAGGGAGGGGAGGGGAGGAGAATGGGAAAAAAAGAAGCAACAAGCAGGGCATGGTGGTGCAAGCCTGTAATCCCAGCACTCGGGAGGTTGAGGCAGGAGAATCATTGCAAGTTCGAGACCAGCCTGGGCTACAAAGTGAGCTCAAGGCCAGCCAGGACTGCATAGTGAGACCCTGTCTCAAAAAAGACAAAAAAAAAAAAAAAGAAAAAGAAAAAAGAAATGAAGCAACAAGATGTACCATGTACAGGTACAAACTCCCTATAGTGAATGTGATCATTATGTATACTTAAAATGTACCAATTTTTAAAAGTAAAATTTATACTTGTAAAAAGAAAAAAGGCTACTGTGGCTTTCCTCATGACAGCCCGCCCTGCTTTCTCCAGGGTGTTCTTTTATTTTGTTTTTTCCTCTTTCACTCAGCCCAAACTTACTCTGCAGTCAGTTTCTCCCTCATTCTTCACTTTTAATTTTTCAACTAAATTTTGCCACTGGGGAAAAAAAAGAGAACTCATTTGCCCACATCAACCCTACTAGTACAAACATGACTGGCCTATAGATGCAAATCTACTGGAAAATCAGAGCACTATATCCTCCCAGTCACGCCACCTCACCTTTGTTAATAATTGAAGTAATAAAAACAGAGAATTTTATTGAGTCCTCTGTACCTAGCACTCTTCTGAACAGTCTGCCTTTTACTCACATCTCATTTAACTCTCTCAATTCCCCAAAGGAGATCCTATTACTATCTACAATTCATAAATAAATTGTGCCTGGGGCAGTGGGTGTGAGGCTGTCCAAAGTCATCAGTTAGTTGGCTGACGTTTAAAACCAAACCCCAGAGCTACTGAGGGTCTAAGTCCAGGCAGCTGGAAGAGTGTGGTAGGCAAAGATCACCACCGCAAGGGTCATTTCCTCGCTGGGAAGGGACAGCCCTCACCCTTGGTGATGGTGGTTAGCAAGAGGAACAAACATGCGCAGATGAGAGCAGCGATTAACCAAAAGTTAACAGAAACTGGAGAAAGAGAACACCTCAAAGAGTTGCTGCAGGCTAAACTAACTGAATGTGGCTGGAAGGATCAGTTGAAGGCACACTGTAAAGAGGTAATTAAAGAAAAAGGACTAGAACATGTTACTGTTGATGACTTGGTGGCTGAAATCACTCCAAAAGGCAGAGCCCTGGTACCTGACAGTGTAAGGAAGGAACTCCTACAAAGAATAAAAACATTCCTTGCCCAGCACGCCAGCCTTTAAGGTTGAATCAGACTGTGTTATTCTGTGGTTTTATTTCTGAAAGTAACACTTGCCATAAATTAGAAATTAATTTCCCAAAATACAATCTTTTTTTGTATAATGATATACAGCTTTCAGTAATGATGTATACATTGTATTGATTTTTTTTCCCTAAATGTGTTATTTTAATAAATATCTCATGAATAAGTTTGAAGTTTGCTTGAATTTTGGAATAAATGGGACTCTGTATTTATTACTAATTCACTAGATTTGAGAGAAACAGTCAGAAAGTAACGTAGTGTAAGTGTTACTATGTGCAATCCTTGCTAAATGCTGAGAAGTGGCTTTTCCTGCTTGTTTGGATATGGTGTGTTCCGCTTTTGAATCCCCCTAATTTTTTAAGTTGTAATGCCCCACTTGTACTATGGGTATTTGTCGTATTCTTTGTGATGAACTCAGAGGGCTGGGACTGTGTCTTACTTATCTTTATGCCTTCCTTATGCTTCAGTGAATTTACCATCTAGTGGAAGAGAACATTTGCAAGCTGACTCCACACCAAGCTCCTTCCACATGCTCTGCGCATCTGAACTTTGAAAGCGGAATTTATAAATTGCGTCCCCACGTACTAAGGTCAAGAAAGAACTTAAAGGGAAATAATCTCCACCCACTAGCTTTACTCTGACATCAGGATTACCAAATCCAGTGGACACTTGTCTAGTCTTACGTGACCTCTGCTGGAGAGTGACAGTGTTGGCGATGCTGCCAGGTGGAACTCGCGTCCCACTCCTCACATTGTTTCTTCCTACCACTGTAAGTTCCTTCTGTTTCATGTGGAGCACATCTTGCTGTATGTGACTATCAAGTAATAATGTTTCATAGGGCTCCGTCCTGAGCCCTCCGCCTGACTAACTGGATATACGTTACCTGGGCAAATCCCAAGAAATGGGTCACACAAGGCTTCAAATACCGCACGTCGATAAATGCTAAACTGCATCTTCAAACCAACTTACTTCTAGCCTCCAGACTCGTCTGCTGTGGATCAGCTTCCGTGGATATTCCACAAACACTCCAAACTGACCAAACCTAAAACAATGATTATGTTTTCCCCACTAACCACCCCTGTTGTATCCCTCGTCTCTGAACGGTACCTCCCAGACATACACACCGCCGGAAGAGCTTATTAAAATGCTGATTCTGAAGGTAAGAAAAACAAACAAACAAATAAAACCAAAGCCCACTCTCTCAGCCATTCTGCGATGCCAATCAGCGACACCGAAATCTAAGGAAGGAGGGGAAGGAAGGACGAAAGAACGAAAATAAAATCGCGCAGCTGCAAAAATGCGAATTCTTCTCAACCCTGGGCACTGCCTACGTGGGGCCACGAGATCGGGACCGCTGGGATCGCCAGCAACGGCTGCTTCCGTCTCTGCCCCGCGCAGGGGCCGCGAGCGCTTGGAGCGCAGCACTCCGCTCCCGCCACCCGCAGCTCCGCACGGGCCCGCGCCCCCACGCCGCTCCTTCCTCTCACGCCGCGCGCGGGCGGCCGGACAGCGCCCGGCCCGCACGCCCTTACCTCTGTCACCGGCGGCGGCGGCTGCAGCTCGGCCAGAGGCAAGGCGGGCAGAGAGAAGGCCAGCTCCGCGGACCTGGAACACCCACAGACCCGTCATGTCGACAAACCCCGGAGGCCAAGAACCCACGCCCGGCGGGCCCCTACCCCGACGTCTCACCATTTGCTACTGTGCAGCAGGCCCCGCTCCCGAGTGAGGCCCGCAATGAACAGCAGCTGCTTTTTAATTTCCCGCAAATCTGAAAAGTCTGCGCTGATGGACAGGCCGGGCATCCCCGCAGCCGTCACGGCCACAGGGACTACAGACATAGTCGCGGCCATTTTCCTGACGCTTTACTGTAGCCAATCATCGGGGATAATACTTGGTGCCCCTCGGCTTCAAAAAAGCCTGCCTGCCATTGGTCAACTCTACCCTAGAGCAGCCAATCACAAATCATTATCATAACTCTACAAAGAGGCGGGGAATAAAGAGACAATTATATCCCCGATTGGACAAGCGCCCCTGACGCGGGAAAATTGGAACAAGAAGTCGGGGAAAGGCGGGCTCTGAGCGCCGCAGAAAGGAATAATAAATGTGAACTGCTAAGAGTAGGGACAAGGGCAACAAAAGATGGAAAAGGGAGCCGGGCGTGGTGGCACAGGTCTGTAATCCCAGCATTCTGGGAGGCTGAGGCAGGAGGAATGCTCAAACTGTGAGCTAAATAAACTTTCCTTCCTTAATTTTGGGCATCAGATATTTTCTCTCAGAAAGAAAAGTAACCGAGACAGAATTTGATACCAGAGAAGTGGGGTCGTTGCTATGACTATTCCTGTGACTATAACTATACCTGGCCTGGGTAATTGAGTGATCTAGTGAGACATTGTCCCAAAATTTTAATAAATACATAAAAAGGACTAGGGGTTTCACTTAACACAAAAATGCTGTGTTTAATCCCAAATACCACAAATAAGTGAAGTTTTTTAAAAGAGAAGAGAGATAAACCATGCATTTCAGAGGCGATGTGATTGAATGACTAGAAGGGGTGTACTTTTGTTATGGTTTGTGTCTGGGTGTCCCCCCAGAGCCTCATGCCGTCATGGGGTGGCTTCTAGAGTTTATGATTGGTTCATGGTCCAATGCTGGGGTTATGGTGTAAGTGCTACACCTGCCCTGGGGCGGATAGTTTCCTTACGGTGTAAGGGAGGAAAAGAGGCTGCTTGCTGCTGCTCCTCCCTCTTGCTGTTGTTGCTTTTGCTGTCTTCCGCCACCATGAGCTGTTGCCCTCTGCCACGTGCCATTCTGCCTTGGAGCCAGCCAAGTATGGACTAAAACCTCCACAAACTGTGAGCTAAATAAACCTTCCTTAATTTTGGGCGTTGGGTATTTTGTCTCAGCAGCGAGAGAAAAGTAACCAAGACAACTTTCTACGTAGATTCCTGCCAGAGGATGACAGCGATGCATCTGATCAGTCTATGAAGGATGCACGGTCTCTGACTTTCCCTGTGAGGGTGTAATGTCCCAAGTGGCAGCTCTTTCCTCTTTCCTGTACTTTTGCAAGTCTAATATGATTTAACTCTTAAAGCACATACTTTTTCTGAACCCAGGGTCTTGCACATGTTAGGCAAGCACCCTAACACTGAGCTACATTTTCAACCCCTACACACACACAGCCTTGTAAATTTGATTTGGGGGCAGGTCTCTTGCCCAGGTTGCCTTTCAACCCATGATCCTTCTACCTCGGCCTCCAGAGTAATACAGGTGTGCAGGACCACACCCAGCTCTATCTTCCTAATTTTACGCACAAGGAAACAGAACTTGAGCCGGGGATATAGCTCAACAGCACAGCGTCTGCCTGGTAAGCTGAAAGTCTTGAGTTCAAGTCTTGGTACACAAAGAAAGAAAACAGAACTTCAGGGAAGTTCAGGAGAGTCTAGATCCCTGAGCAGTGAGGGATCCACCCCTCACTTCCTTGATGAAACACAAGGGCAGTGCGGAGGTGTCGGTAGAATTCTTTGTAAAATATACTTTGGAATTGTAAAATGTCTTTTGTCCTTTTCAGATGACCAGTGTTTCCTCAGGGACTTTAATCATGTAAGGAACTTACAAAAGAAAATTGAGGAAGATTCATTTTCAATTTAAACCAGGTCCCAGCAGAGGCAGGAGGGTCTTTAAAGAACATTTCCCCTCCCGGCATCATTGGGCTGTCAGCTGTGGCAGCCAGGAATGCAGTGCACCTCGCTCTGGAGTTGGGCGGTCAGGTGGCCGGATGTCGGAAGGAATGAACACAGTGTGTGACCTTAGGATATCATTGCTCTGTGCAATAGGTTTGGGTCTGAGACCTAACAAATGGTTGTAAATATAGTACATTGGCAGCTTTCTTTAACTGGCAACACAGGCTGTTTTGGACCCCTCCTCTTTGCCCCTCAGCTCCATAATGTCTAACTACCTGCCTAACAGATTACACCTGCTATGACTTTTTTTTTTTTTTTTTTTTTTTTGTGTGTGTCTTTTTGAAACAGGGTCTCATTATGTAGTTCAGGCTGGCCTTGAGCT